TGAAGGTGTCACATCAGCACATAAGGTGCACAAAAATATGAAAAAATGAGTTTAGGGGGTAATAAGGTCTTAGTTGTGTTTAGGTGTGCCTCTGAGATTTCGGTCATAGTCTAGGGGGGTACTTATGCCTTATCCCTTATTATAACTTAATGAAAAAATAAATTTATTTTTATAAATTTTAGTATAACTTACATAAATCTCATAGTATAAGACATATAAAATCCTATGTCACGACCCGAGTCTACACCCTGGACGTGGCAGACACTCAAGAACCATTGTCGGTCCCCAAGCGAACCCTCATCCTGGCTGACTACAAGCGGAAGACTAACTTAAGCATACAAAAGCTTAAAACTGAATAAAATTCAATAAACTCAACTTTTCAAACTTTAACTCAAATGAACAACTTAGAATAAAAATAATATATTCAACTCACCATAAAATAGGCAACTTAAGTCTTTAAAATATTTAGTAAGATAGATGAATAAACATTCTGAAACTCTACTGTCTATCTATGAAGCCTCTAACTGACAAAGATGGAAGTTGGGACAAGACCCACGACATCCTAACAACTGAAAAGTAAATAAAATCCTCCGAAAGCAAGGAGGCTCACCATAGCTAACTCGAACTCTCGGATGTATCGACGAAGCTCATGTTGATGATCATGAATACTTGTGTCTGCATCATGAGAAGATGCAGGCCAAATGGCTCAGTACGTGGAATGTACGAGCATGTAAAAGGAATCCTAAAGCATAAACATAAGCTTGAAACTTGATAAAAAGGAAATATACTTACCTCTTTCCAAACTTACTCAACTCAAGGAATCTCAAAACTACTTAACTTACTTAACTCAGAAGTACTCAAGGATAAGATACTCAACTCATAGATAAGATACTCAACTCAAAGATATGATATTCGACTCTGGGTACTCATCTTATTTGTGAGGAAGAAAGATGATTTCTTAGGATGTGTATTGATTACCGCCAACTGGACAAGGTCACTATCAAGAATAAGTATCCCCTTTCGAGGATTGATGATCTTTTCGATCAACTTCGATATGCCAGTTGTTTTTCAATGATAGACCTCAGATCTGGCTATCATCAATTGAGGGTAAGAGGGAGTGATATTCCAAAGATAGCATCAGGACCCGTTATGGTATTTTTAAGTTTCTCGTTATGTCTTTTGACTTGACTAATGCAGTGTAGAACCACGCAAAGAAGGTCAATGCGGAGCGGATTGAAAATAAAAAAAATTATTATGCTAGGCGGAAATGAACAAGACGGATTAAATTTTTTACAGATTAAACTCAACCCTCTCCGCCCCACAACGTACCGCCCATTGCCATCCTTGCGTAGAAGCAAAAGCAAAAAAGTCACTAATTGTTCCTCACATGGGAATGCGATGGACTGCAATAAGTAGGTGACCGACCGGAGATTTTGATTGTATAATGCTTCTTCAAGGACCATACAAAACGTTTTTCAAATAGGCTTGCTTTTAAAACAATATACTACTTTCCACTTTAATTTATGTGATATTATTTGACTTGACACAAAAACAATTAAAAAAAGAATTTGAAAGAAAAATCAATATATTTTGATCACTTAAAAAATAAATTTTAAAAAATGACTTTTTTCAAATCTTTCGTATATAAAAATAAAAGTTTCTTATAAAAATAATATAAAATTAAAAAATTGAAATTATAAGCGACCTAAAAAATCAATCGTCTCATGCCATGCTTGAGCATCGAAACTCGTGTAACTTTTTTGTCAGCTGTTTGAAAGTCAAGTATCTAAACTCCAAATGCTGGTACAATTACTTTTAATGTTCTTTTCTTCTTCTTTTTTACGTGTAAGTGTCCGTTTGGATTAACTTATTTTAGGTGTTTTTGATTTTTAAATATTTCTCTAGTTCATTTTTAATTGTCATGTTGCGATTTTTGAAAGTTAATTTAACTAATTTCAAAGTTAAATTAGATTACATTAATTCAATATTTTAAACAAAAAAATTGGGATAAGACATAAGTACCCCCCTAGATTATGACCGAAATCTCAGAGACACACCTAAACTTAACGAAGGTCCTATTACCCCCAAAACTATTTTTTTCGTATTTTTGTGCACCTTTTGTGTTGACGTGGTACCTTCAACCACCTAAGTTGGTTGTGTTTGTACACACTCGCCCGTCACGTGTGTAATTTTTTTTTTATAATTAAATAATAATTATTTTTTTAAAAGTAAAAAAAAATTTTAAAAAATTTAATTTTTTTAAATATTCTTATTTTCTTTATCTTGTATTTAAATTAAGCTAATACACATTTTTTTTACCTACATTCGTTGTTTTTCTCTTTTATTTTTCTATTGATTTTTATTTTCTTTGTCTTCCGCTTTCCGTTTTGATTTGATTTCAAATTTAATTCCAAATGTCTTGTATTTAAAATAAGTTAATTTTGAACGGATATCAAATAAGTGAAGAAAATCAAATAAAACATAAAACAAATAAAAACATTAAAATTAAAGGACACTTTTAAATTATTATTTTTAAAATACACATAATTTTAAAAATATATTTGAAAGTGAAAAGATAATAAATTAATTAAAAAAAAGTTTAAAGTGAAAAGAAATTAAAATAAATATTTTACAAAGTAAGAAATAAAAATAATTAAATATATACTATAAGTTTTAATATCAATAAAAATGTGTACTAACTAATTATAAAGTTATCAATAAAAAAATGACATGTGTCTAATTTGTGCACTCATCACTTGCCTTCAAGAGAGTGTGCACACTATCTATGTCATAGCAGCGTTTGTGGTGTATTTATTCCATTTTAAATTAGTTTAGGAGGGTAATAGGATCCTATTATAGTTTAGGGATGTCTCTGGGATTTCGGTCACAAGTCTAGGGGGGGTACTTCTACCTTATCCCAAAAAAATTTAGATATATTAAAAAACTATACGAAAAATACTATAAATTGCAATTTTTGCATATCAATATGACAAAAAAAATACATTGTAAAATGTTAGTCAAAATTCTTATAATTTTACTCTAAAAAAGGAAACCATGACAATTAAAAATGAACGGAGGAAGTAATTTTTTTTTTTGTTTTGGAGGTGTTTGAAAGGGTTATAAAGTGTTTTTAATATCCATTTTTAGGCTAATTTTTTTTAAAAATAAGTCAAAAGTATGATATTATCTACTTATAACTTTTAACTTTTGACTTATAAATTACCCTTTATAAGCCTATCCAAACAAGCCCTAAATATGATCAACCGTCCACTTGCTTTATGTCACAAGAAAGATCACTAATCGTATGTTAAAAGAGAACAAAATAAATTATACATATATAGACGTACTTACCTTATAAAGCTTTCTCCATTAATATTAAAAAATATATTTGGTTTATCTGAATTCGGGTCGAATTATCCAGATTAAATAAGTTAAATCTTGATCCGTAAGCACAATCAAGTTATTAACATTAATCCTTGCTATTGATAACTAAGATGTAGATAATATCTTTTTAAGAAACATATGTTGACGGTTAAAATAACTATTTATAAATTCTTATAATATAGTAATCTCAATTTTGTACTAGCTAGTTAGTAGATGGTAAAATAATTTCAATACATTGATATTTTTTTTTAAATCAAGTTTATTTTGAAGTGAGAAATTATTTAATCCACTCTTCACAAGAAATTAATCAATTCTAGAAAATTCTATAAGACTCCATTTATCATTTATTAAATTATCTAAGTCGTCATCAAATTGAAATTCAACATTGAAGTTGAAATTTTTATGATAAAAAGTTAATTTTGTAATAATAAATTAGTCAAGGGGGTCTAGAAACAAACGTAAACACCACGATTGGTGACCACTGACCAGTGATCTGTGTGGAACTCATGAAGTCTCTTACCAAAGACTTTATAATGCGTGTTTAGTACGATAGACTTTTTTTTCGCAAATTGATTGTACATTATTCACCTTCCAATAATAGTTGTCCACTATTGACTTAACACACTCCTTAAAAAATAATATATAGTAGGGGTAAGTATTACGATATTATTCTTTGACTTTATTAAATTTAATATTTTGAGAAATGTGTTAGATGATAAATAGGGAGTATTTAATAGTAAGAGTAAAATAGACACAAAAGGTAAATTATGTACTCCCTCCATTCCATATTAATTTAATTTTTGAGGTGTTTCACACCCTTTAAGAAAAGTAGATTAAGACATAAATTGAACATAGTTTTCCATTTTTACCCTTATTAATTATTGTCAAATTTATGATTAAAATAACTAAATATTAATTAATTACTAATTCCAATACTAACTAATGAAGGGTAAAATTGGAAGAACATTCTAAAAGTAGTCTTGAAAACTGAACAATTAAATTAATTTGAAAAATGGAAAATGCCTCAAAAATTTAATTAATATGGAATGGAGGGAGTATTAATTTTCTAAATTGGACAAGTATTATTGAACAACATAACTATTTTTAATATAACGAATAACTATTATTGAACGGAGGGAATATTTTTATGTGCATATATTAAACATCCTTCGCACAATATTCGACTTTGCACAGATTTTTAGGTGGGGGTATATCATTTTTCTTTTACTAATTAATGTACTCAAACACTTGGACATGATTATCAATTCTTTTTACTTCAAAATGTTGCCAAAATATAATTTAATTTTCCTAACTTTATCATAAATCATTCAGTAATAGATGTTTTTCCAAAATTTATTGTTTGCTTACCAAAGAAAAAATATTTTCTTAACCCAAAATATAAAATATATTTTTTTGAAAAAAACATTTGTTTATTAGGATATTGTCGAAGTTGTTTCGAGGAAAGTATGGTTGCGAATAAAATAATCAACATTGGCGTCCAACGACTCCCACCTAAATCATCACATTATTCTTTTCTTCTAAAGTCATCCTTCCCTCTTTCTATAAATATTTACTTACAATACATAAATTTTGGAGAAATCAAAAACACAAAACCAAAACATGGCAAAGCTAAACTCAATTTTATTGTATTGCTCTATTGCTATTGTCATATTATCATCAATTCCATTAGCTCATTGCAATATTGCACAAGGTCCTAAAGCTGTTGAAAATTGGTTCCAAAAACTTTCACATGCAAAACCAAAAATAACCAAACTTCATTTCTATTTTCACGATATAGTTGGTGGTAAAAACCCAACGTCAATACCAATTGCTCAGGCTAATTCTACGTCTCATTCGCCTACGGCGTTTGGCACGCTAGCGATATTAGACGATCGATTGACAACGGGACCAGAAATTAATTCAACGACTATTGGTCGAGCTCAAGGAATTGTTGGTGCAGCTTCTCTTGAGGAATTTAGTTTGTTGATGAGTTTGAATTTTGTGTTTACTCATGGGAAATATAATGGTAGTACACTTAGTCTACTTGGACGTAACACTGTTTTGAATGAATATCGAGAGATGCCAATTGTTGGTGGTTCTGGTGTTTTCAGGCTAGCTCGTGGTGTTGCAACCGCAAAAACACATACTTTAAGTAAGAATGGCGATGCTATTGTTGAGTATAATGTTGTAGTTTTGCATTATTGAGTTAAGATTATATGTTGGGACGACCGAATTGCTAATTTTATTTTGATTTCTTTTTTTTCCCTCATATGTACGTTCTTTTTTCGTTTTCCCATTCTAATGTTCGTGTAATTTGATAGCAATGTTGAGTTAAAAAGTTTCATGATCATGCGAGAAACAAATATAGTTGTGACAACAATTTCTACTTTTTTTTTGTCAAGTTAATGTCAAAATAACTTAACTTTAAAATTGAGTACTTTAAAATTCACCTTTTATCATTAATAAAATGATCTACCATCACACAAATGTCTAAAGTTTATTTCAGATTACAAATTTCACAAGTCTTTATTTTTTTTAAAAACATGATATCAAGTCGAAAGATTTCTTTTTTTTCTTAAACTTAATGTCAAGTCAAATGATGTCACATAAATTGGAACTGAAGAATTATTATTTTGTGAAATAGTAGTATTATTCATCAAATATAACTTCTTAGAACCTTCAACGATAATTTTTCCACACCTAATTGTCAAATGTTTTAAAAGTAAAAAATCGAACTCGAAAAGGTGATTCTACTTTTGCAAAAGTCCTCTCATAACTCATTATTGTGACCTCAACTATTGTTTTAATGTTCAGATTATAGTATACACACTTTCTTTATGGCCAAGTATTATAATGAGTCTCACATTGAAAGACAACAAGTCTACATATTATAAAGTATCATATACAGTAGTGCGTTAGGTTGTTACAGACAATATTGCTATAATAATCTAGTACAGCTGCAACAACTAACTGTATATTCCTTCATTTCAATTTAATTGTCTAGTTTTAATTTATCATAAAATATAAAAAAATAAAAAATTATTAAAATTATTTGATCTTAAACTAAAAATTTTATTTTTCTTTATCAATTGATTTCAGCTAGAAAAAACTTTATTTTTCTTTAACAGGCCTTTCGAATAATTCTTTGTATATTCTTCTACAATGACTTTTGACTTCATGATTTCCACAAATAGGTACACCTGTTCCTCATGAAGTTCTAGAACTCATTGACTAACTACTCAATAAGGGGCATATTTTAAGATTTGCATATATTCTCTACTTATATTTTTATTTAACTAAAATTATATAAAAATATTATAGATTACAATTTTTCTCATATGAAAATAAAAAAATAAAAAAAAGGATTCGAACACGATATCTCTGAGTAAGGAAAAATTTATTCCGGAATAAAAAAGTTACAGTACTTTTTTTTATTTAACATTCTTGTGGAATAATCCTTTATAATTGCATAGTGTGGCGTGGGTGAGCAGTAGAATAACTTTGACTTCATCAATAACAAAAAGAGGGACACCTATACTTCATGAGCTTTATGATGGTTCTAGAACTCCATTGACCAAGCTCTAGGGGATTAGTTGGTCATATAATTTCATTTTGAGCTTAACTTCTATGCTTTAATAGTGTCAAAAATATTTATATAATCAGATTACGTATTATTATTATTATTATTATTGTTGTTATTATTATTATTATTATTATTATTATTGTTATTGTTATTATTATTATTATTATTATTATTGTTGTTATTATTATTATTATTATTATTATTATTATTGTTATTATTATTATTATATAGTCTCCAGTTAAATTTATTACTATGATAAACATTGATTAGTAATTTAGTAAATCAATAGAGTATTGTTTTAATTTATATGAAGGTGTTTAACTCAACATCAAAGTGATTGCATGATTTCTTATTCTTCGGTATGTCTTTTTTTTTTTTTGTTGCTTCATTTTTATTTAGTATCATGATATTTTGTTGTTATTTGTTTTTCTTCTTATAACCCTTCTATGACTACTCTTTTAAAGTTGAGGATTTGTCGGAAATAATCTTTCTTTCTCGAAAAATAGGGATATAATATGCATACCTATATCTATATTCTTTAGAGTACGATCCACGTGTGAAAAGGATACATTGTTGTCATTTGACTGGACAATTAAGAGATTCTAAGAATTAAAAAATTTATAGTATAAAATATATATATATATATATATATATATTTTTAACCGATTATAAAGAAAGTCTCCCACAAAATTGAGACTTGAAATACGTTCGGAATGGAGGAAACTATTTTTCAATTTATTCATATATATTTGATTAATCAACAATCGTTGTCACGGGATCTTTACATTGTCGATATATATATATATATATATATATATATATATACCAGATAATTTAAGGTCCGTGATACGGGACCAATATAATTTCACATATTTTGATTTCCTCTCGGATCATAGATATCCCCTCTTGGATACATCCCTCCCACGAAGTAATATATATCATTAGTAATGTATCAGACAACCAAGGAATGTATTCGAGATTTTTGTAATTGAGGAAACATCTGGGATAGGATGTAATTAGCCTCTAAATATATGAGATTTCTATACTTTATACTATTTTTTTTACAGTAAACAACTTCAATATATTACTCAATAATCTTTTTCAAATGTTCATACGACATAAATGCGTCGTTACAACCCAAACTGAGAGTTGAATTCCAAAAAATTCTATGCAGCAAGGAAATAGAGAGTTGCGTTAGATTATGAGTTAAAACATTTTGTATTCGAGGAATATATAAAATGTTGATATCTTTGAAAAAGTTCATCGATCTTCATATATTTTCGCAAGTGATATCTATTTTCTACAATGTTATCATCTTCTTTTTGTAATATTTGCACCATAAGTTTTGCATCTGATAAAATACTAATCATTGATCAACCAATTCATAAAGATCGATTCAAAGCCTTTCAAATCTCTACTGCTTCAACTTAAATATAATGTGTTTGTAGTTTACTTTGTCGGTGAATTTTGTGATACATTTCATTATTGTCTTCGATAATAGAAATACTTCTATTTATTTTGGTTTTAATATTGAAAGTATTTATTAAAAACTTGATTTCTAACTTTCACAACAATAAAAACAAACATGAAATCAAATTTATTTCTATATACAATAACAATTATCATAATGTTATATTCTAAATATTGAAAGTATTTATTAAAATATTGATTTCTAACTCCACAAAAATAAAAACAATCATGAAAGCACTTTTCTTTCTATATACGATAACAATTGACATAGTTTTATATTCTAAATTACATTAATAATTTGTTTTGATAATACACTCTAAATATCATGCCATAAATGAAAACTTTGAATCTTACCCCCACAAAATAACCAATATACTTGTTTTTCTTTTTCAAGTTATTATTTATTTTTTAGTTTTTTTCTTCCTCTATAATTCTCATGCCCTTTTCTATTGACATTTTCAGTTTCTGTTTTTTCTTTAATTTTTAACTACTCATTTTTCTTTAGTTTGTATTTTAATATTCCTTAGAATTTGAATATTAATTTTTTTTTCTTGTCAAATTTCCCTGTTAAATAGTTTATCATATTTGATATTAAGAAAATATTCTATATAGAAATGAAAATTTTATATTTTTTTAATCTTTTGATGAATACATTATCAAATCATTAATTTCTTAATAGTCAAACATTGTTCATTCTTTTAGTCACGTAATTTTATATTTGTTCAAATTAATTAAAAAATATTGATACGTCATTTTAAAGATTATTTTAATAATCAAGATACGAATTTAGTGGTCATATTATGTAACATAATATTAAAAATATGTTTACGCAATAACCCTTTAAAGTATTTTTAGGAACAAAATATTAACTATTCAAACATATTTTATTTTAAATTAGTTCAAGATTTTCTTTCAAAAACCTGTCAAAACAAGCTTAGCATTTATTATTGTTTGTAAAAAGTTAATTAATAGAAACTCTTCATTTTAACACAATTATAAAAATATTTTTATGGGCTAATTTTAAAAGTAAAGACATGTATGGATTTTTCTAGATTTTCATTTTGGTCATTAATTATACAATTATTATTTCGCCCTTAAATAATATTAAAATTACTAAAATGCCATTGTTTAATAGATATTTTTGGTTTAATGAAATTTCACACTACAAAAAGAAAAGAAAAAAAAATCTATAGAAAATGTGATTGAAAATGTGGGTCCATATTAAATGTCGCATCATTAGGATACACATGGCATTTAAGAAAAGACATTTGGTTGTATTGTCATTATAAATCTATTACCACTTTTTTGATGCCATAACATAAAAGCAAACATTCTAGAATATTTATGAAATGACAAATTTGCCCTTGGTCATCCTCAACTTGGCTCTTCTATATAATAGAAAAAAAATATATATATATAAGAGGTTTCTTGCAATTGCTTAAACAGTTACTCAAGGTTTGACATGAGAAGATTATGACATTTGGCTCGTTAGTATTGGTATGGGTAGGGGTGTACAAAATTGAACCGAAAATCGAATCAAACCGTAAATCGAATCAAACTGAAAAAAAACTCGACTAGTGATTTGGTTTGACTTGGTTTGATATTGGAAAAAAACCCGACTATATTTCGGTTGGTTTGGTTTTAACTAAAAAAAACCAATCCGAGACCAAACCAACCCGACATTATATATGTAATTTTAAAATTTTATTTTATACATAAATTATTTACTTGGATATAATTTTAAAATATTTCCTGTACTATTTCATAGTTTTTATCTTTTAAAATATTATTTCAAGTTTAAAACTTAGAATTCGGAATGGTCCAATAAAGATTATAGTTCATAAATGTTGATAATTATAATAAAACTTAAATCAAAATCAAATTAATACTAATGCAAAAAGAAAATCAATTCAACAGTAAGAATGACAATAATATTAAATATTTGTTCTTTAGTTTTACATTGGTTTAGACAATTAAAATACATAATCTAATTTTAATTTTCCTTAAATATTTAGTAATGTAACTAATACTCATTAAACTTATTTTAGCATAATTTAGTACTTTTAAACTATGATCATTTTCATTATGACTTTGCAATATTATAGGATGATTTCATTATTATTTTTTATTGAATATTTTTGTGTCATCAGTACTCATCTCATATTTTGTGTTATCTTTTTTTAAGAAACACCTTAGATAATTGTATTTTGGTTGGACTAAAGAAATATTTGGATTATATGTTTGTATGCAAACTTTACAGAAAAAATCCAAAAATCTGAAAAAATTCGAGATTTATTTGTTTGGTTTGATTTATAAATTTAAAAATTCGACACAATGATTTGGTTTGGTATTTGAAAAACCTGAACCAACCCGAGGTTGAAAAATCCAAATTTTATTAGTTTGATTTGGTTTATAAATTTAAAAATTTACACAAATGGTTTGGTTTGATATTTGAAAAACCCGAACCAACCCGGTCATGTACACCCCTAGACTATGGGGTATTTGAGACATATATAAGTTTTATAAAAGGGGAAGACACAAATTTTCTCTTGAATCTGTTTCAAAAAATCAGTTACATGTTTAAATTATCATGATGATTTATTATACACTTTTATTATTTAAAAGTAAATTTCAATAGTCAGTAGCATAAACGTAACTCTGAAGTTCCATTACAATATTGTAACATCCAAAATATCATATTTCAAAGTGAAGAAATATTTCTTCCAAGAAAGTACAACGATAATTCAATAAAGAAAACATACTCTTTGATCATCTTTTGTAATGGGTTTTCCTTTTTAATTAGTATATCTTTAATAATTTGAATTATTTGAAATTCATGATCTTCACATAGGTAACTCACTTTATATATGTTACTTTATCTGCATATGCCGAGTTGGAAAGTATATATTATCATAAAATAGTATTGATATTATTTAAGCAAAGTTTTGGATAACTAATTATTTTACACGAAAGAATAATATATATATAATAGTACATTCTTCTGTGAATTCTAGATGTCGATAGTCATATCATCACTTATTCATCCGAATTAATGGATACGATAAATGAAAGTTTAATTAGATATATGTAATTTATAATATATTGTTTTTAGTTTGATTAGTTGTAAATATGTAACTAAATGTATCTTACCTTATACTTCTTTATAAACAAAATATTTTAATCTTATACATTTTATGATCAGATTTAATTTATATTTTATTAGTATAGTTACAATCTTTCAGTACTACAACTTTTACGGATTTGAAACCAACTATAAGTTGAGTAGTCATAACGATACATATACTTAAGAAGTTCTCCCATATTTTCTATAGATTTCGAACTCAACCTAGTTATATTATTATTATTATTATTATTATTATTATTATTGCATACGATCGTGTAAGTCAAAATTGAAGGTATATTTTGAACATATGAGTAAGCATGCACACTAGTTTCTTAACAAACTAGGAGAATAATCTTTGGCCTTGGAAATCCTAGCTAGAGCTAGAAACGCAATAGCAGAGTCAAGAATTTCACAAAGGGTGTCCAGATATAGCAGCTTGTTATGTTAAGGGTGTCCAGAAACGGATTACCATCTTTAAGAAGTTCTGTTGAAGAAGAATACAAAAGCTTATAACTCCCCATAATTTCATAATTAACATATATAGTACTTCAAATTAAATATCATGATAATGCAGGACTTTAACATTATACTCAACAATAGCATCCCCATTGGTCGTATTGAGCGAATACGTCTTCGCCGCGGCAATTCCCTGAGCCAACCGAAAAACTCCAGAACCACCAACAATTGGCATCTCACGATACTGGTGAAATACAGGGTTCCGACCAAGTACACTCAACGTGCTACCATTATACTTGCCAGTTGTGAACACAAAGTTGAGAGTCATGAGAAGGGCAACCTCATTTTGATCAGCTGAACCATAAATCCCTTGGGCTCGGCCCACTATTGTTGAATTGGGCTCTGGTTCAACTGTTAGTGGGTCGTCTATCATTGAAACAAACCCAAAGGCAGTTGGGGATTTGGCAGTCATGTTGGATTGGGCTATTTGAACTGTAGTTGGATTTTTCCCACTAACTATGTCATGAAAATAGAAACGAAATTTAGTTACCTTTTGCTTTGCATGAGGAAGCTTATAGAACCATTTTTCAACAGCTTTGGATTCTCCTAATACAACACCTTGAGCCATTGACATAATAAGAATAAAGCAAAGTAATACAAGTAGGATTGTTTTTTCCATCTCTTTATTAATTTCTCCTTAGTTTTTCTTTTTTAGAATGAATGATATATATAGAAGTTGATTACGTTTGAATATCTACGTTATGGCAGCTAGGAATCATTGAAAATGGGAAAGGGGAATAAACAAGGAAACGTAAAGAAGAATGAATGCACATGGCTACAGCAACAAGGCATGCACTGACACATCCACCAAATTGATGTCAACAATATACTGTATTTTTTACAACAGAAAGAAAACCTACATCATGAAATCAATACATAGACTTAGCAATTGTTTTATTTTACTAGACATATTCAATGAGCCATTGGCAGTCATGCAAACACACACACACACACATTATCATAAAATATATAGTACTGTCGATCGGTGTTATTTAAGTAAAATTTTGAATATCTAATTTTACACAAAAAGAATAATCTTGTAGGTTCTTCTTTGAGTGTTAAATGTGGATAATAATATCATCACTTATTCGTTCGAACCTGGATAAATAAAAGTTTAATTAGATATATATAATTTATATATTTCTTTCAGTTTGATTAGTCGCAAATGTAACATGGTTTAAGTATCTTACCTACTACTTTTTTTATAGACAATCTTATTGGTTTTAATCTGATAATTAGTTTTACAATCATATTTACTTTCTGTTTTAGAAGTATAGTTAATATCTTTCACTACAAATTGTTACAAATTTGAAATTAGCTATAAATTGAGTAGCTAGCCATACCGATAGATATACTTAAGAAGTTCTCCCATATTCTATGTATAATTCGATCTCAACCTAATTAGAATTGTTATTATTGTATATGAGGGTGTAAATCAAAATTGAAGATGTATTTTAAGCGTATCAGCAAGCATGTACTCTAGTTTCTTAACAAACTAGGAGAAACTTTGGTCTTGGAAATATGCAAGAAGCAGACTACCATCTTAAGAAACTAGCCTCCACAATTTCATAATTAACACAGTATTAGAATTAGATCCATCTCAATTTATGATTTACTAATGTTGGGCTTTCAAATTAAATAATTCAAGCTATAGATGTCTAGCCTAAGGAGTGAAATGGGTGTTGAGCCTCACGTTGATGGGATGAGGATAGTTTGGTCTTTGCATATGTCTTAAACAATCCCCACCCTATAAGCTAACTTTTGAGTTGAATTAGATTGAAGATTCTAACAACTTTTTGATCAGACTTATTAAAATATGAATTTTTTTTTGGCGAAATGGTCTGATGGACCCTTATAATTGTATCAGTTTGTATTTTGAACCCTTCTACTTACACATTTATCATCTGGACCCTTTAATTCAATAAAACACAATTTAACAAATCCTTTGACCATTGACCAAGCTTATGTGTCTTTAAGATGGTTGAGTTGGCGAAAGTGTGTGACTTCACGCATTTTTAGGCGAGTGAACAACTTTTTTAGGTTAAAAAAATATTAAAATTATAAAAGAAATATTTTTATTAAAAAACAATTAATTAAAAAGTAATTTCTTCTTCCCAAAGCTTAATTGCTTTCCTCTTCCCAAAGCTTAATTGCTTTCCAACCCTGGCAACTTCAACTTTTTTAGATCTTCTTCCCAAAGATCTCCGTGCAACTTGATCTGCTGCAAAATCAATTGAACTTCCTTCCCAGTCAGTCACCTTTCCCCAGCTTCCTGAACACATATGATTCCAACAGCATGGTCCCAAGCAGGGGCATAGACGGAGATTTTCTTCATAACATGTTGATCTCAAATTTCAATACCATTCCATGGCGTTCACCGGAGAGGAAGGAAAGTTTCTGTTGGTTCATAGCCTGAGTATAAAGCCGAGAAAGGGAATTAGCAGCGCTACAGAAAGTCGAATACATGGTTCGATCCACCTCACCAAGGCTCGATGCTAGAGACTTCCTTTTCTTCCCCATCTTCAATCTTTCACAACAATCGTCTCCTTCTAATCTCTTAAACATGTTTTTTTCAATCGGTTTCGATAACCCAAGAAAATCTCAGGCGAATTTTGGGTATATTTCGATGAGTTTCAGGCAGAGGTTGGTGTGAAATTGTATTTGTAAGCAATTTGGGGTGTGAAAATAGTAGTTGACGTTGGATTACGAAAAGTTTGGCTAGATCTGGTTGTGCGGTGGCCAGATCTAGTTGTGTGGTGACTTACGTTGTTGTTACTGTGGAGGTTGGAGGAGGAAAGAAAAATAGTGATGGTGTGCGGCGGAGATGAAGACGGGTGAGGGAGAAAGTATATGTGATTTCGCCGGTAAAAATGGCGACGTCGCCGGCGATGGCTTTCTTTTGGTCGCAAAATAGTGAAAATACGGAGAATTAGAAATGCCAATAATAAATTAAAATGTTATTATTTTACATTTTATTAAATAATTTTGGTTAATAATTTTAAAAATAGTTATGAAATAATTATGATGTGGCATTAATATATCTGACGTGGATATGACATGTCAATTATATAAAGGAGAGTGAGCTACACATATGGTTGGAGGGGCTTAAAAGTCTCATTTTAATTGAGTTTAAGGGTCCAGATGACAAAGGGGTAAATACAAGGATTCAGAATACAAACAGATACAAGTATAAGGGTCCATCAGACCATGTCGCCTTTTTTTTTTTATAAATGAGATGAGAAAGAAAGAAAAAAAGGCAAATGGCTTAAATAGTTTCAACTTAGATGCCTAGTTCAATTACTCGATTTGTATTCTTTCACTTCTTAATTTTGGAGATTTTGGTGTATAAAGGTCGTTTCATTCAATAAAATTTATCTTTACTAGAATAAATATTGTTCACTTATATCTCGATCTAAGGTTTATTTCATTGATCAATACACATCTTTATTCTACCGAAAAAATACATAAACTATAGAAGCATTTAAATGTAATATACAAGAAATTACAAATGAAAATAAAATAGCAAAGCATCAAAAAATTAATTATCTTAACGCAGGACTATAACATGCATTATACTAAACAATAGCATCCCCTTGTTTGTATCGATCCAATACATCTTCGCCGTGGCACTTCCCTGAGCCAACCGAAAAACTCCAGAACCACCAACGATCGGCATCTCACGAAACGCTGGATTCCGGCCAAGTACACTAAGCGTGCTACCATTGTACTTGTCACTTGTGAACACAAGGTTGAGGGTCATGAGAAAATTTATCACAAATTTAGTTGTACAGTTGCATTTGGTTCCTTATTTCATTATTGATTTTAGAAAATTTATTGCTACATGTCATATAATGGTATGAAAAGAACTACTACCATTTTTTCGCATCTTTAGGTTTTAATTTTTGATAAGGATATCTTTAGGATATAATATATTTACAAATCTCATCTGCCTAAAATTGATAAAATTGACATTATTTTCCTACATTCTTGTATAATTAGTGGACAACTTAGACTATTTTTTTTATAAGCGGATTGAAAGAGTTGGTTTGGTTAATGTGGAATCAAACTCAATGGAAGATGAACTAATATGAAGATTTGGTAGGAAGATAATTCTTTATTAGTACAAAATAAAAGTCAAGATAGTATCTTGGTAGGTGAAATTTGAGAAAATACATCATTACTCCATTTAACTATAACACTTTTTTTAAAAATACATTTGAACTTGGTAAAGGTCCTAGTAACCCCTTAAACAATTTAAAAGTGGTAAAAGTGTCCCATTTTTCGGTCAACCCCAAGTTTAAGAAGGGAAGTGAATACACGCACCAACTGATACTTACTAGGTGTCAATTATTTTATTTTTACTTTTATTTTTATTTTCATATATGTTACTTATTCTATTTGTTTTTTCTAAAAATATAAAAAAATCTCTATTCTCCTTCTTCAATGTTTAACTGCGCTGGTGATCCCTTTTTTTCACGCCGCTGCCTGCCGACGATTCTCTACCATAGCCACCATCCACACACTTTAACACCATCTCAACCATTTTCTCTAGCAAATAAAAAATAAATTGAAAAATAAAAAACACTATCAAATCTTTGGCGTTTCTTCTTCGATCGTTCAACCATTTTTGTGTACTTCGCCTTTAATTTTTGCTCAAAATCAATATTTATTGTATCTACGAAGATTGATATTCTCTCTCTGACTCAAATAGGGTATTTTTTACTAGGTTTGAACGTGACCCCGACGATTCTCCCTCCGTCCTCGTCATATCTTCGATGCTTCTCTCACCGGTCTTTTCCGATCGTCCTCTGCAATTTCACTCCGCTTTCATCTCTTTCTCTGTCAATAATCTCATTAATTTGATCTTCCTCAACTAAAAAATGAATCTGAGAACTCTTCTGGGTAAACTTTGATGAAGGACGATAAAAATTAGAAAAAACCATAAAACAAATAAAGTAAAAGAAAAAAATATTTTGATTAAATAAATGTTAAAAATAAATAAATATTATTTTAATTTCTTACTTGTCTCACTCGCTCGTGGCAGTGAATTACACTCCATGTGTCACATAGGATCATAATGGGATAATAAATCCACTCTGAATAAGAATAAGGGGGTGTTAGGACCTTTTCAAAGTTTTAGTGTCTTTTTTTAAAAAATGTTACAGTTGAATCGGGTAATGATGTATTTTCTCGTGAAATTTAGGTAAATCATAAAATGGTTTCACATGTTTAACCTTGACATTTTGACATATAGTGATGTCATGGATGACATCAATAGGAAGAATTTATTCCTATAAATAGGTAGCTCTTAGGGGTCGTTTGGTGTGAAGGATATGTACAAATAGTACTGGGATAAATATTTAGTGGCACTTAATTTAGTGTTTGGTTGGGAAGTTTGGGATAACTTATCCTGGGATTAATAAATAGTACCAGGATAAGTTATCCCTCCAAAAGGGTGGTATAGTAATCCCATCACAATTTGTGATGGGATAAATTTATTAAATGACAAAACTACCCTTTAAACCCTTTAATTGATACGCTTTCACAAGTGCCGCTTATGGTCTTAGCTTCCAGATTTCTTCTCTTCTTCATTGCAGTGAGAATCACTCTTTCATTTGGGTATACTCAACTTTTCATTTTCGATTGAAGCCATAGATGGGTGATTGAAGAACTTCTTTACCAATAACCTTCAACTTTCAAGTTTCTAACAAGGTTAATTTTTTTTTCCCGAATTTGTTTCTCTTTTCTTTCTTTGTCTTCATTAATAATTCTCTGATCTGTTGCATAATAATTTGGATACACTCATATTTTCTATTTAATGGAAGAGATCAATTTTTTTTTTGGATTGTTATGTTTTGGGGGTTTTGTACATTTTGAAAAAAGTTTGTTCTTTTTATGTGCTTGAAATATTTGTAAACAATTTCAAGTTGTCCTCTCAATAAAGTTGCCCTCGTTGATTCTTTTTAATTTTTTTTCTTTTTTCTGTATAAACTCTTTTCATTTTTTAATGAAAAAATAGGGTTTCTTATGGATCATCAACTACAGTCCGATATTGAATGTTTTATCATCCTTGAGGAGATATTGTGCCAACAATTTCTCGTTATGTTTATTTTTCTTTTCATGGTTATTCATGGTATTTCTATAAAAAGAAATAGGCATGTGATTAGGTACCTTATGAGTAGTCGAGTTCCTAAAATTATATCTCATTTAAATTGTATTGTACAAGATAGTGACACAACATGTATTGATAAGTTAAGGATGGATAGAAATTCTTTTCACACTTTAGTTCTCTTAACTAAGGAAGTTGGAGGTCTGACTGATAGCAAATATATGTCAAGTAGTGAAAAGTTAGCAATGTTTTTAAATATTTTGGCTCATCACGAGAAGAATAGATCCATTAAGGTTGATTATATTAGATCGGGCTGGAGCGTAAGTCAAGCTTTCAATGAATGCTTGAAAGCTATTCTAAAACTAGCTCCATTGTTACTTGTTAACCCCAAACCGGTGCTTGAAGATGAGCTTGACGATCGATGGAGATGGTTTAAGGTATATGCACTTTCAATTGGGTATCTATTAATTTATGTAAAAGTAAAATAAATATAATTTTACGAAGAAATTTTTGTTGTTTGAGATAATGTTATAATTTTTTTATAGGGATGTCTTGGTGCGTTGAATGGTACTTACATTCAAATTAGAGTTCCATCTAAGGACAAACCAAGATACAGGACAAGAAAGGGAGAACTAGCAACTAATGTACTAGGAGTTTGTGATAAAAATCTTAATTTTACTTATGTATTACCTGGTTGGGAAGGATCAGCGGCTGATGGTCGTGTATTACGAAATGCTATAACTCGAACGAATGGTTTGAAAATTCCCGAGGGTAATTCTATACATATGCTCACATTAAAATTATATCACAAAAATATTGCTATATAAAAGCAACTAATTTCTTATTTATATTATAGGTAATTGTTATTTGTGCGACGGAGGATATACAAATGGAAATGGTTTTCTTTCACCTTACCGAGGATATAGATATTGGTTAAAGGATTGGCTAGGTGAAAATCCACCACCCCAATGTCGAGAAGAGCTTTTCAATATGAAGCATGCTAGAGCTTGTAATGTTATTGAAAGGGCATTTGGTCTCTTGAAAGGACGTTGAGGAATTCTTAGAAGCCCTTCTTGGTACTCGGTTAAAATACATAACAGGATTATTAGTGCTTGTTGTTTGATACACAACTTTATTCGTAGAGAGATGGAAGTGGATCCCTTAGAGATCGATGTGGAAGAACAAGTAGAATATCAACAAGATAACATTGATGTTGTTGAATCATCTCAGGAGTGGACCACATGGAGGGATGAGTTGGCTCAATCAATGTGGAATGCTAACTTAAACAATTGATCTTTACATTATTTTGTGCTTGTTATATGTTAATGCTGCATTTGAATTATTATTCCCTTTAGTTTATGATATTCTTGTAAGATGCATCAACTTTTAGCTTTTTATGATATAAGAAACAATTACTTACATTAATTTGTAATGTGTTTAATTTATTTCTTTTTTGTGATGTGTTGGTATGTTTTTAATTTATTGTTTTTGTACATTGAAGTGTATGATTTTTTTTTATGATGCTAAGTAATGATTTGGAGATACTTTCGCTTTTTATGATGGTAACTAATACTAACAACGATTGTTTCACAAAATTATTCAGACAAATGGAAATTCAGAAATCTTCAATGCAACCACCGAAAAGATCAAGACGAAGACGATCAACACCGTCAACTCGAAGGACATGGACTCCTACAGAAGAAAGTACTCTTATAAATGGTTTGAAAGAGTTATGTGTTAATGGTTGGAGAGCTGATAATGGAACTTTTAGGCCAGGATATTTGATGGTGTTGGAGGACTATTTGCATGAACGTCATTCTGAAAGTGGCTTGAAAGGTGAACCACATGTCAATTCTAAATTAAAATTTTGGAAGAGATGTTATGCAAGCTTAAGTTTACTAAAAGGTAGGAGTGGTTTGGGATTTCAATATAGTGATGGAACTATAATTATTGATGATCCAAAAGAATGGGATAAATTTTTAAAGGTAATTAATATTTTGCTATTAGAATATTATTACTTCATACAGATATTTCTTAAGTCTTCATAATTTATAATTAATACATATAAAATTGTCGTCTTTCTTTTATTGTTTGTCTAGGATGATCCTGGTGCAAGCAACATGAATACTAAAAAATGGCCACTGTTTGCGGATAGGGAGGAAATTTTTGGAAAAGATAGGGTAACTGGAGAACATGCAGAAGGGCCACTGGATGCTGTTGAGGATATCTTAAAGAGTCAAACATCAGGACTTTCTACTGATATGAGTTTAGAATTTCTTATCAATGTTGATGACGATGAATATGAAGATGAAGCTAGTCATGGACCTAATGCACCTACTGAAGAAGCTGAAAATACTGATACAAGACATAATTTTACTCAAACAACTGAAAATGAATATGCTCGAGGATCTCCTCATGAACATACTGGACCATCTGAAAACCAAGGTGAATATGCTAAAACATCTTCTTCTAGTGTCAATGAAAAAGAAAAAGGCAAGAAAAGAAAAAGGGTTGTGGAAGATGTTAATGAAACATTTCTCAAGAGTATGGCGGAAGTTATGAAATTTTTTACTGAAAGCCAAGATAAAAGAATTGGTTCCTTGATCGAAAAGATTGGAAACCGTGACCACTCTGATATGTGTGGTCAAATTTATTCCATCATTGAATCTCCTACATTTGATTTGTACACCATAGAGCAACGTATCAAAGCTAAAAAGGTTATTTGTGAAGATGTCAAAAATATGAAAATCTTTTTACGTATGGGTGAGCTTGAGCGCCATACAATGATGTCCATGGTTGTCAATGATAAACTTTGAAGTATGATAAACTTGTGTATATAAATGGTGGCACTAGTGTGATAGTTTTTGCTCAACTAATAGTTTCAAATCAAAACTTTGATTAGAGTGCCATTTTTTTGATCCTCTAGTTATGTTCACTCTTTTGTGTATGACTAATGTAGGTCATGAGGATGCTAGAATCTTTTGTATATGTAAAATCTATTAAATAGATTAACTCTCATGTAAAAGTTAAGTTTATTGTAAGTTTGTTGCTAGTTATCAATTTTTGTTATGTTGCTTCCCTACAGTTTTCTTCTCATTTTATCTATTATGGTAGACCAGTTTTTGGTCTTGTTTTTTCTGTTGCTTTGATGCAGAGCTTTTGTTTCAGTCTTGACAGGTGTTTTGGTGAATATTTACTGAAATTTTACTCTTGTTTTAGCTGTTGCTTTAGTTGTAGTGTTGGTTGGTTTGTTGTATGCTGCAATTTTGGTTAAGTTTCTCGGTTAGTATGAATACGAGTTTCTGTTGCTTTGATGCATGACTTTTGTTTCAGTTATGACAAATATTTTGGTGAATATTTTCTGGAATTTTACTTTCGCTTTAGTTGTTGTTTTAGTTGTAGTTTTGATTGGTTTGTTGTAGGGATTGCTGCAATTTTGGTCAAGTTTCTCGGTTAGTATGAAGATACAAGTTTCTATTAGTCTAGGCCTATTGTTTCTTTGCCAGATGAGCTAGTTTTTTATGTTGCTTTGATGCAGGACTTCTATTTCAGTTTTAATAAATCTTTTGGCTGTGTAGTGCAGTCTGCATCAATCAACCAAAGATTTACATGAAGCAAATAGATTTTAAGCTTCTATTTCCCAATTTGCAAAGCAACGTTTTGTGGACGATCTTTGCTAGAAGTACAGTTATATGGATCAATATTTTGAGCTGACAAGCAGACACAAAAGCCCAAGCCATACCTCACTTCTCTAGTTGAAAGCATTCTTGTTCGATGCATTGCCCACTTGTATATCCAAATCTGTATGCTTTAACCAACTTACCTTTCTCTTTGTCTATTACAAGACCTCTTAATGACTTAATCGTTAACCCGTTAAGAGTTATCATCTATTTATGTTATTCTATTTTAGGTCCGATTCGACGAGCTTTTGGATCATCATAAGGCATATTTTGCTTATATGATTTTGTACTCTTTGGTTTCTCTTTGGTTTCAATTATTTTTATTATATATTGCTATAATCGTCTGCGTCCTAGACATAGTTGTAGTGTTTGCGTTCTTCCAATGCTTCCTGGTTTAACAATTTTGGCTATGGAAACTCTGTTTTTTGTGTCTTTTCTATTTTCCAAAGTTGAGATAAGACCTTATGGTGCACTTGATTTAATGCTTCCTAAACAAGCTCTAAAATATGGCATGTTGTTCGTACTTGTCCTTAAAAGCAAGTTAACAATTATAAGGGAGTCACCTTCTTACTACAAGTACTTTGACGCATCAAATTTATTTTAAGAATGTAACTTTCATATAATCTCATTTGGTTATGAGTTAACACAAATGCCTATTAAGTCAAACTAATGAAATTGTCTCTTAATATGATCCATTGCCTTTCCTAATGTGTGCAGAAATATTATGTGGATAGGTTGGATTGAGTTTTAAAATGGGTAACTGGTGGATTTTCTATGTTGGATGGATTGAGTAGTTAAGTTTGGTTTTAACTAAAACTCTACCAAAAAAATATACAAAAAGCTAAATAAGAGGGTATTTTTGTAATCAAACCACTTATTTTTAGGATGTATGCAATGGTTATTATTTTTAGTACAACAAACCAAATAATCAATAAGAAATAATGCCAAGATAACTAATCCCAACATAACTTGTATTCAAACCAAACGACCCCTTAGTTCATTTTCAAGACATCATCTCATTTGCCTTCTCACCTTCTAAGACATTTGATCTTCTCTCTCTTGTAGTAATTCATTTGTATTCTTTGGAGAGTGAAATAAATATTGGTGCAGTTATTCTTTGGTGGACGTAGGATCATTTTGATTCGAACCACGTTCAATATTATTATTCTTCCTTGTTCTTTATTTTCACATTTTCTCTAACACGGATCATATTGGGCAGGTCATATATAAATCTCTAAGATTAAAGTCAAACCCAAAGTTTTATTCTTTTTAAGCCATAGCCATCTTTTGCGAAAATAGTCATAATAAGACTAATTCTTTTAGAAAATAAACAATTTCAATCACTTTTAGAAATTCTTTTCCCAACGAGTTATATTCTTTGTTAGCCACGAGATGCTTAAATCGTTGGGATCCGGCTCTTCTCCATTACCCATTTCCTTCATTTCGTCAAGTGCACCTCTAGATAAGTGACACGTGTCTTATTTAAAGTTTAAAGGTCAATATTATATTATATTAACAAATATCATAATCATAGTTAAGTCAACTAATTTTAGAAAAATACTCTCTAAATTTGATTTAAAAAAATACAATATTTTCCATACAAAATTTAATATTTATTAATAGCATTAATTTCATCTTATAATTTTATATTTAAATATTAAAATATTAAAATTGTAGAACATGAAATGTTTATATTTAATGTGATAAATAATAATCTTCAAAAACATTTGCATTTAAAACAATGCTTTCTTTTATTTCACAAAAAAAGAATATAAAAGAATATTTTAAGAAAACGTATATTTTTTCCCTTCAAACGTACAATAACCACATTTTCTCCTTGGAATAATTTTGATATCGTTTAATACTAAAAACCTTTTGTCTTTTTATTTTTTATTTTTGTTTCGTGTTCTTTTATTTTATGGTTTATTTTCAACATTGATAATTCTTCATTTTTTTTTTGTTTCTCAACGTAGTATAATATTTCAAGAATAAAGTTTACTAGTACAAAAAATTATTTAGTTGATTCTCACCTTAAATATCATAAACTTTAATATTTAATTATAAAAATATAAGATGAAATTAATGATATTAATAAATATTAAATTTTGTATGGAATATTTCGTAATTTTTACCAAATTTAGAGAGTAGTTTTCTAATATTAGTTGACTTAACTATGGTTATAATATTTGTTAATATAATATAATCTTGACCTTTAAACTTTAAATGAGACATGTGTCGCTTATCTAGGGATGCATTTGACGAAATGGAGGGGAGCCGGATCTCAATCGTTGGTCAATCACATTTTTGAGATCCATAACACTTTCCTCGGGGAAATTAGTGGAACTTTTACCCTTTCTCTGATAGAATTAAAGGTTTTAAAATACCTTTTCAAATAATTTCTTTTTAAAGCAAATTTATCACTAGACAGTGTTTAGCGGCCTTTTATTAAACATAAAAATATCAATAGTGCTAAGTACAAGCAAGGGGGCTATGTCTTACCTTACTAATCCTAATGAAGTACCTAACTTCTGCTACCTAACAAGTATGAAGAAAATAAAAGCTGGAGAGAACTAAGTATTTTCTGATCATCAAATAATTTGTAATACACTCCACGAAGATATTACAAATGAGGATGCTTAAATAATGTAAAAATATGCCAATTAAGAAGAAAGTTGAGTTATCAGCCTCAAACTTTCTATTACAAAAGCATAAATTAAAAAAGATTGATAGCCCATCAAAAGTAATTTGAAGTATTTTTCTCTTGTCTTCTTCTTCAAACCTATCCAACAACACTTGATAATTCATACTTTCTTTATGGATTTATTGGATCTTGTTGATCCTATTGATACTGTCAAATGGTTCTGTTTTGCCTGTGTAACGACATGATTCCTTCGTAAGGGAAAATCCAATTGAGAAAGAATTGGGGTCAGAAAACTTTTCGCAGTAACTTGAAATTTCCCAACCTAGTCCAGATTTGGACGAAATCAGAGTCTGTGAGGTCAATGGAAATCTGGTAGCAATTGGGTGATCTAATTATGAATTTGATCACATGAATAGATAGCTAAGACGTTAAGGAATCTGTACGACTTTACGGAATTGAATTCGGGTGAGTAGAACTCCCGAAATCAATCTTAGCGTGAACGGTATTTTTTTAGCGTCGTTGGTTAAAGGTGTGTTGTGAAATGGAGGTCTTGGAATTATTGTGCAAGCCTCTCGGGCGGGATTTCTGCTGCCAGGGCGGGGCCTCTGTAGTGGGGTGAGGACCGCTTTTGCGGGTTCGACGCGACTTAAAGTCGTAAATAAACCTCAAAACGTCTTTATTCTGTACTTTTCAACTTTGAGAGCTAAGGAACGATCCCAGACGAGTTCTTGACCATTTTTCACCATTCTTGAGGTTAAAGATAAGGTTTTCATTCCCCGAATTTATTTTTCGATCCGTAGAACTTAGTTTCTTGGGTAATTATTGATGGGGGAGGGTTTTGATCAGGAATTTATGGTGGAAAAAGCCCTAAATTGGGTATTAGGATCTTGGGTTTGGCCTATGGTTGATAATGTTGAATATAATCCGGGTAATTAGGCCTCGTTTATTGATCCTTGCGTTTAAGGCTGGGCACCTGAACGGGTTGTACCGGTACCATACCGGTTCGTTCTGGTCCGGTAGTATTCGGGACGGGATGGGATACACTGAACCGGTACACGGAACGGAACGGTATCATGATTTGGTACTGGTATACCGGTACCGGTTCATCCCGGTTCATTTCGATTTCATTCCGGTCCGGTCCTGGTAAATCATTTTTAATTAAAATAAAAAATAATGTTTTTGTCATTATTTACTTTTATTAGCATTTCTTTTTTGTTTATTTAATTTTTTAAAATTACAAACTTAAGTTATTTAACTTACAAGTTATAAGTATAACTTTATAGCTTAATAACTTATAAACTTCAAAAGATTCAAATCTTTAAAACTTATAACATAACTACATAAGCTCAAAAACTTAAAAAAAAAACTTTATTAAACTTAACTTACAAACTTATATACGTAAAAATTTAAAAAAATATCTTTAAAATAAACTTAAGTAAAATTATTATAAATTTTAAAACTCAAATACTATAAACTAATATAACTTAGAAAAATAAAAAAAAATATTCGTATTTTCGTAGTTCAAAATAACTCAAAAAAATAATTATTTTTTGAAATAGCTATATGTGCTGTCCAGTTTATCCCATCCATGTCCATTCCGGTCCGTCCCGATTCTATCCCGGTATATAGTGGGATGGGACGGAACTGAGCCTCCATCCCGGTAGTTCCGGTCCGGTTCATCCCGGTACCGGTCAACAACTCGGTCAAATAGTCCCATTTCGGTTCGGTACCGATTCGTTCCGATCCGGTCGTCCCATTTCGGTCCGGTGCCCAGCCTTACTTGCGTTAATTTGTATGTTTTTAGACCACGAACAAGCGGGAAGAATCCGAAAAGGGAAGATTCAAGTGCCTTAGGGGATTCAAGCTTGGATTCGAGGTAGGTGATGATTATGATTCTATGAATATGTGATGTATGTTTGTTCTTGCTTCATTAAGATACACGTATGCATATGAAGGTTGCATTATTGATCACACTTGTTGTAAATGTGATAGATGAATGATGGTTACCATGAAATAATGACTTAAATATATGATCTTGAAGATATACTTGTGATTGTGATTGTGGTGTGTTGAATGGATCGATTGCCACATTTCGGCAAAACTAACTTGGATCGGTTTCCACGTTCCGGCATAACTAACTTGGATCAATTGCCACATTCCGGTATAATTATGCGATCAGTTGCCACGTTCCGACATAATCATTGAATCGGGTACCACGTTCCGATATGCTAACTGTGTGGGTGTGGGTTCCATGGGA